GCAGATACTATTCCAGTTACAGTATTCAGAAGCATTCCATAAAACTTTGGTTGTTGTGTGGGATCGAGATGACCCTTTTCTGCTATTACGAATCCACAATTTTTTAAATCCTAGAGTATAATTGAGTCTCTTAATTGTATTAAAGTATTGTGACAGGGGTGTGCTACCCATATATCGTCCACGTGATTTCTACAAATAATACTATTCGACCTCCAATGTCCTATTAATGACCTCATAATTTTGAAAAATACCCATACAGCTTGGTTCAGCCCAAAGGGCAGAACCCAAAAGTGATACCAAACGTCCTCAACTCTGAATCCTAGTAGCTTTTGTGCATTTGCGTCTATTAATATGTGGTGATATTCTTCTTTTAGATCCAAAACTATTACCCACCAATCCTGTTCTACCATGTGCAAAAAGGTCTCGAACCCTTCGAATTTGAATGTTTTCTCTGGTAATGTTGTGTTTAAACATCTGAGATCGATTACTAAGCACCACTTTTTTGGACCCGATTTTGGGGTTAGAAATATAGAGCTTGCTTCTAATAGGTGTTCGGGTCTTTGTCTCAATTTGGCTACTAATGCAACTGTGTTTGTCTCTAAAAGCCTTTGTATTTCTGAATCTAACCATGATTGCTGGTTCTTTGTTAGTAGGTACTGGGGTGGGTCTGATTGCATTGACAGTTCCAACAGCCCTTTTGGAAATAGTGGAATTCTATTTCTGAGCCAGTTTATAATAAGATCCGAGGCAAGAATCTTTCTCCTCCAATATTCCACATGCTTTTCCATATGTAAACAGCCTACTACAGGGATCAATTGCTGGGCCCGAGCGTAGTCAATCATTGTTTGTATTTTCTTGTGGCTTATTAAATCTGTTTTTATATGTTGAATATCTACGTGAACGGTAGTTAAAGGTATTTCCATTTGGATCGGAGGGGCATGCGTTTGCAAAGTGGCTAAGGCCTTCACAGATATAACATTTGCCTGAAGTAGTTGAGGGATGGTTTTGGGACTGGTTGTATGGGCGAAAAAACTTGCCAGAGCTTGAATTTCTGCACTTGTGGGCTTCATGGTAATTGTCCCCCACTTGGTAGTTACCTTTCCCTAAGTTTCGAGTTTTTTGTCATTTACTTTTCCTGACATCTGCTGGAGTTTTTGCCTTCTCAATTAAATCGTCTTTTCCTTTTAACCATTTGTCTTGTGTATCAGATAAAGCTGATGCGATCTCCCAGCCATATCCTTCAGCTACCCGTAATGTAAACATTCTATTTGCGATTTTTTCTCGGGCTATATCTATATGGTTTACAGCATCATGAACATCCCTTGACTCTACAGCTAGGTCAAGTTCTTTTCCTACTATGCGTAATGTATCATACTCGTGCTGGTCATGGAATCTCTCAAATTTGTGGGTTGGCCAAGCATCATTTATTTCCACTCTTTGGCGGGTGTCTTGCACCTGAGCGGCCACTGAATTCAGTCTGTTATTAAAGTCTAAAACAGCATTTTCTAGTTTCTTAAACTCTAACAGCATTTTCTGTCCCAGAGTTTGTGTACTTTCATTTTCATCTTCTTCATGAAGCCTGCGTTTCCTCACATTCCTTAACGTTTCATATGTATCCTCCACTAAATGATGTTGCGAGCTTTGTCCTTCCTCATCTTGAGGGGTGGCAAATCTTGATCGTGGAATTTTTGTTTTTCTCCTTGACTTTTGTATGAGTTCTCTTAATGTTTGCATTTGGGAATTGTTTTCATATACTTCATTTACTTCATTTGGATATTCTGAACCCACTGAACCATCCTCTTCATTAACAAGATATGTATCCCTTTTTGATTTTACAGTTTGTTCAGGTCTCATACGATTTTCAGCACTTGAATAGTCCCTTATTCTTTGTACTAACTCAGCTTTGGTTCCTTCTGTAGAAATGCGAAGGCCTCGGCAGATTTCCTCCAAGTTATTTTTTGAAAGGTTGGTATCGGACATAATTTCTCTTTTCCACTTCCTCTTCCTTATTTTTTCTTTCTTTTTTTTTTTTTTTGTTTTTGTTGTCTGTTTTTGTTATTTTGAGGTCTGTACGTTCCTTTTGTTTTTATTTGTATTTTGTGCTTCTTGTTTTGGAGCACATGTTGTTCGAGCACGAAAAAGCCAGATCGTAATCGGGCAAAAGAGAACAAGCGAACAATACAAGCGAAGTAAAAAAGCACTATCGCTCTATAATCTATGCCAATATGCATATTTAACAATAATTATTACACAAGCCTACAAATTTGGTGATCCTCACGATAATAACCCTAGCATGACTATCGTCAACGCATAGGGTCATTTGCAACATTTTTTCGCTATGACTAGTCTACATATATGAATTGTGGAATTACTAAAATTGTTAATCAATTCCACAAAGCTTCGGAATTACGTACGTATTTCTACAATTATGGAAATGATTTCTCTGCAACAATTAGTATATATTATGCATTTGGTCTATATATAGTTGTTAATTGGTTGTCTTTTCGCATAATCATGACTGTCAAGTTTTTTGAACAACTTTCTAATTATGGTAGCTGTGCAGTGTGTAATGCAGCACAGAACCAGTACGATCATACTGCAACGAGTAAGATTCCGACTATTCGTTTGATAAAATTGGTTACTAAATACCTCATTACTTTCCGGGTAAATTAAACGAAACTGAAAAAAAAACAAGAAATATAAGTAAAGGAGTTATCGCGGCGAATTTATTATAACTCGTGATCCGACGATTCGAATCAAACGATTTTTATACCATTCGATTCGCCTCTTCGAGGCGAATCGAATGATATAAAAATCATTTGATTTAGATCCTTGGTTCACGGAATATTATAAACTCACCACAATATAATATCAGCGCACCACAATACCCTCTTACTTTCACAGCATTTAAATAGCAACAAATCGTAACTTATCAATTTGATTCGTCTCTTCAAAATAAATCGAACGGTATAAAAATCATTCAATTCCGATCGATAGATCATAAGCCTAAAGAACTTAAAGAAGAAACAGGAAAGTTAGTACCAAGGACTAAATAGAGCAAAAAAAAAAAACTGAACTACAACGCTTGTGCAAAAGATACACGACATCAATGACGAAAAGTGCTGAAATCTGAAACTATTATATAAAGAATTTAGAAAAGAAGA